GATGAAACAGACTGTTGTGGTTTTTTGAGGTAAAACGAAAACTATATATATATATATATATATATATATATATATATATATATATATATATATATATATATATATATATATATATACATATATATATATATATATTAAGATGAAAATGTTCTAGAGTGTGTATTATATAACTTTTCTATCTTGGCGCTTACAGTTATTGAATTTACAATTGAATAATGAATTGTAATAGTCTAGCACAACTCTACATTTTAAGTTAATGTATGTCCCTTCAGGACTTGCTGACAATCCCATCATAATACCTTCTTCATATATCCTAAGTTCATATATCTGCATGCATATTCATACATACTATACACAGAATATCTTTCCTGTTTTTTCTTCATAAATATTTCGTAAATCTAAGTTAGTTCCCATGTTATTTCCCAGAAAGAAAAGGAGTACGTATATATGATTATCAAAATTTAAAAGGATAGCATAAAATTTTATAACAGCTTCTCATTTTTCAATAAATATTTTAGGCCACTTGTAGGCTATGTCTAAATTTTCGACGAAGATCATATGAGATAAATTCAGATTTAAAAGAAGATTACAAAAATTCCTTATAGTTGATATTCAATATTAGAAAGAAAGCAATATATGTCTTAAAAACAATTTACTCACCATCTCAGAGAGTCTTGGGGCATTGGAAACTTGATTGGTATCGTCGATGAATGGTCATCTGAACTAGGTTTCAGTCTTCTTACTCGGGCTAAACATGCAAGTTTGGCCTAAAGTTAACATTAATTAAATTGTTTTAGTCATATACATATGTTCTTCGTTTTAGTCATATACATATGTTCTACCACCTACCGAAAGGCATAATTTAATTTAAAAGCATGACTATGCAGACGGTAAATAAACTTTATGACATTTAAATTTGCAGAAATTACACCCCACAGGTTGCAATAAATAACTTTTTCAGTAACCCAAAAATATTTTTTTATATGAAAGGTGCGGCAAAATTATACATTAATTTATTATTATAGCTGGCATATTTATCTCGTTACAAGGAACAGATTCGGCTCACATCCACCACTCCGGAAGAGTGAGTAGTACTACTAATAGTGGAAAAGCAGTGTTCTCAGCACTCGAGAATAGCAATGATTCTCGAGCCAACGGAGCGGAGCACCTTTCCGGGTGTAAGCCTGGCACGAGGGTACTAATTCCGCATGGCTATTGACATCCGCGGGAAAAAGAAAGCATTAGTGAAGTTTATAAAGTTAATCAATAATATATCAGCATTATTTATACCCTTTTCAAAAAAGTAAAACTTTTCGAACACCAGACATTTTGGACAAATGGCGTTATGGCGGTCGCGTTTATTCAAACTTCATACTTGAATATAATGGTGTCTTGATTTTGCATATATAGAATTACATTCGAATATAAATTTACGCGTAAGTTGTGGACGACTGACATAGAAGCAGCAGCAGAACAACGTACAACACACAGAGTTGGGGGAACAGCCATTACTTCCAATCAAACGAAGTGTGAAGTAGGCGAGAAGAGTTCCTAATGACAAAAGGAGGGGGATTGCAGTGCTTTGTTTCATAATGTAGGGATGCAAAACCAGAACCCCCAAACCAACAAACTATTCCACTCATTTTTAATATAATTTATTTCATAAATCCATTAAAAATAGTTTATACTATATAAACGGAACTGAGAGTTTTAGAAAGAAAATTTAGCGATTTCACTTACATTTCCATCCGAGTAGATAAAGACTGATGAAGCTCGCAAATTGCGATGTATGAATCTTCTAATCTGTAAAAATGATACAGCTTCTCCAATTTGTGATAGGTATCTTAGGCCATTTTCTAATGTACATCCAAGCATTTCAATGAACTCTTCTAAATTTCCCATATCACCAACTTCTGTGATCTTAAAAGGAACACCGTTGTTTACTAGCTAGATTATACTTTTAAATTCAAAGAAGTACTTCTCTGGGTATACCAATAAATGTTACACTTACGGTAGAAAAATATAGAATACAAAAATATCTGCCGAGAATCGTAGTGCCTTCCAGAAACTCCGCACAATTACCCAAAGGAGAACATATGTTATTCATTAATATCAACTAAATATTGTCATACCAATTCCACTTTTTCAATATGAACAATTCTGTTGGTAATGACAGCCAATAAAGGAGATTTAAATTCAGCTAATTTCTGAATGTCAGATAACGATGCAGGGATAAACTCTTTGGTAAAATGACGCGAATTCTAAATAGTAAGCAAAATACACGTTTCAAACGCCGGTATATCCACGGCACAGGGTGGCGAACATGGTAAGCCATTTCAGAATTACATTGGAAAACCCATGGATACCGACAATATCTTGAGATCAGAGCCTCGGGCGCACGAGGCTTTTACTTCGCGTGGATTTTCATGGCAACCACATCAAATTTGAAAATGGCCCATTGCAATGGCCAATGGCCCAAGAAACATTTTTTTTATTACACCGCATGACTGTTAAAATTGTTTAGATTTGTTTACGTTTTAAACTCATGGCTGCGAGACGAAAAATTTTCCACCCAGTTTCGGCACAGTTGTAGAAGGTCGCATATCGACCTAGCAACGCTTGCGTTCTATAAATCTTATACTAGAAATAGAGATAGAGGGAACACCGCGGAAGAACGTTTGCGCATGCGTCACCATTACTGAAATCTGTATTGCGAACATGTTGTCAAGTTTTCCGAATGTTGTCAAAAACTCAAAATGGAAGCGACTTCGATGTTCTGCTTTTGTATGAAAATACAAGCGGAATAATGAACGTGACAACCCAAAAACTAGAAATAATTATAGTCTACATGTGCAAGAAGTAGTATTATGCAAGAAAATAAACCAAAGGTGACTGTCGATAAATTTATTGTATAAAACGTTCTTTAACTGAACAATAGAAACACATTTTTCGTAGGTTCATATGAACCACATTTTTGTTGATAACTTTTTTGCGTGGCATGTATAATTTTTGCGTTGACTATATTTAAAGGTAATGAGTTATTCTACAATTAAATCGTGTGCAAATTTCCTAACTATTCGATAGTTTTCTTAACTTTTGTGCTTAAGTTCAGCATTCGTCAATTTTTAAAAAAAATGTTCACACGCCTCCCGGTGATAAACGATAATTTTTTATTTAAATTCTGTCTCTTTTTAGATTTTAAATGTTAGAAAACTTTTTATGAATGTCTAAACTACCCGTCTAGTGTATTTTTTGTTTGTTTCAATTACCTTAAATAATTAAATAGCCATGTTTTTGTTTATAATTTTGGGTTGAAATTCATCGCCATCTTTTTTGTTCCCACGCATGCGCAGACGTTTTTTCGCGGTGTTGTTACAGGACGGAAGAGATTTAAACGCAAGCTAGCTGCACATTCGCAAGAAAAATTCAAATAAAATTCAAAATAAGTAATTAAGCATGAAATGCTGACTATCAAATCAAACTACAGCAAATTTTGAGTAAAGTTTGCTAAATGAGTTACGATTGGCGTGCGAATTAACCAGGGCGCTTGTATAGAGGGCGGTGTAACGGCAATTAGCGCGCTGAGTTGTTACTATGGCGACGTTGTCTTATGATAGCAAGGTAAATATGGCGGGAAAACTGGGCTGGAATTATTGACTGTTTTGTAGTCAATTTTGATGAAGAAATAGATATTGCGAGTAAAATTCTAATGTCATACGATAATTTAGCAGGTATCACTGAAAAGTGTAGAGTTTTTGCTCAAAACGCTTACGAAGGCTTACGAATGGTTGTTTTCGCAAGAAGCATGACGTGATAGGTTTTTGAAACTCTTTGTATGTACACATACATCGTTTATGTCCGATAGAATACAACTCACAATAGGTTTTAACCACTAGTTGATCTTAAATATCAGTTGAAAATCAAGAAATGCTCAACTTCAATTTGTATTTTCTTAACGAATCCTTACGAGAAGTCGCCTTAGCCAGCCGGTCAAAGTTGTGCCGAAACTTTTTCGTGTATTGCGCTCAACATACGTCCGAGCGAGTCGTATTTTTATTAAATGGCCAAGAACTAAAATATGTTTACGGATCAGAATTTCTTCAATTGAATGCCTTAAAAATCATACAAAATTAATAACATAATAACAAAAAATCATGAAATAGCCAAAATACAATTGTTGTTTATCTTGTAACGAGGTAAAAATTAACTCGCAAAATTAGCCGGTCTTAGACAGGAAACTCGTCTTAGACGGGAAATTCGTCTAATATGAATCCGGGGGCAGACGAGTTTCCCGTCCGAACTTTCCCGTCTAACTTACCCGTCTAAACGGACGGGAAAGTTAGACACTTAGACGGGAATCTCATCTACACGGGAAATTCGTCTTAAATTCGAATTTATACGTCCCTAAATTCATATTCAGACGGGTATTCACAGACGAGTTTCCCGTCTAAGACGAGTTTCCCGTCCCTAATATGAATTCGGCTATTAATTAAATACCTCACTTTCCAACACTGCATGTATATTCAAATGCTCATCTCCCAGCCTTATGAAAACCTTTGGAGATAAGCACATAATTATAATCTTTACTATCAAATGAATTTCGTAGTTTGGACGACTTGATAACATGTCGGAATGCTGTTTCGAAAATTTCCCTTCATCCAAGTCTTCAAAAACACGAGTCATTATCCTCAATGATTCTTTTAAAGTTCAACTATATAGGCCAAACAAGCATTCATACTGTACGATACCTGCGAGTTGCGAGTCTTCGAGTTTACGGTGGGGACTTTTGCCTCGAAAACGCTCACTTAAATGTAATTTTGTGTGCTTTTGAAGAATTGATCTTATATTTTATACTTTGACAGATCTTTTCATTCTAAGAAATGCTCTCGTTTCACTTTTTCGAATTTTCAAATTTTGGCGGGAAAATGACGTCATCCTTTTGGCGCCAATATTTTGTTTAAGTGTTAAGACTTCCTTAGTTAATTTTTCAAAACTAAGTGGTTATATTATCTTCTAAACCGAAACAATAATTGAATTATCTTAATTCAATCAAGAGTTACAAAGGATGGAATTTTCAGTAAGCTATTTTTAGTAACAAAATGGCCGAAATCTGAACGTTCCATCCGTTATAATTCTTGATCGAATCAAGATAATGCAATTATATTTTTGGTTTTGAAGTTTGCACAACATCTTATCTATTGAAAAACTAACTAAGGAAGTCTTAACACATAAACAACATATTGGCGCCAAAAGGATGACGTCATTTTCCCGGCAAAATTTGAAAAATTCGAAAAAAGTGAAACGAGAGCATTTCTTAGAATAAAAAGATCTGGCAAAGTATAAAATATAAGATCAATTCGTCAGAAACACACAAAATTACACTTAAGTGAGCGTTTTCGAGGCAATAAATCTCCACCGTAAACTGGCAACTCGCAGACCCGCAACTCGCAGACCCGCAACTCGCAGACTCGCAACTCGCAGACTCACAACTCGCAACTCGCAGACTCGCAGACTGGCAACTCACATACTAGACAAACTAACTACTTTGTTGTTACAGTGCAAAAACATCCTGAAGAATTTCGTAGTTAATGAAATAACAGCAAAAATACAACAGCAGGACAAATCACGCCCCTTGTCAACTTTTGCCGAAAAGCATGCTCGTGCCAGTCCTTTTCCACATCACACATCGATCAGCGCGACATCAGCGCGTCGCACAGCCCTCTATATAAGCGCACTGGAATTAACCCATTGAGCGCCAGCGCTCTCCCCTTAATTCCTTAAATGAAATGCACTTACATCGTCATCATTCAACAGCGTGGCAATGTCAGAGGCCTTTAGACATTCGCCAAAACAGCCCTGCACATTACAACCAGTTCTTGGATCAATTGGCTTCTAAAAAATCAAAAATATTTCTATCAAACTGACTATGAACAATTATCTTTTGGAAACGCAAAAGAAAAATTAAAAGTGATATAGTGGTTGTAGTAGTAGTAGTTTATTAAATATACATAAATTAAAGTTTACAAACTGAATTGATTATGTTTACAACAGGTAATTTAATTTAAAAAATTATCAATAAAACCATTTACAATAAAACTCATTGTAACGACTGGCTGTAGTGTTAATAAAGGAATTTTTAAAACGGTCCGTATTACACTTGGGAACAAAAAATGTCCTAATGTTTCTCAAACGTAAGTCTCTGTTCGTATTAAAAGGTATAAGATTATGCAATTTGTCCTCTATATTACGGGAGACCTTTAATAAAAGATCATCACAGTGATTGTCCCGATAGCCCGATAGTCTTTCCAAGCTCGATAATTCCAATGCAACATCGGAGGGTGTATCATAGTCATGAATAATCCTCATTGCTCTTTTTTGAATGCGTTCCAATGATGATTTTAATTTCTCTTGCAAGTTAAAGTGAAAAACTTCACAAGCATAAGTCAGGACGGGACGAATGCACGTAACATAGAACTCCAGTAGTTCTTTAGTTTGAACTTTTGTACGTTTCAACTGGGATAAAAAATACAGACGCTTTGATGCCTTTTTGCAAATTTTTTCAACGTGTTTGTCCCACTTAAGGTTGTTTTGAATGGTCGAACCCAGCAGTTGAAATGAATTCAGAATTTCAATAGTGATGCCATTTAAATGTAAATCATCAAATGTGGGGGAGCTTGTTTGAAGGATATTCGCATTTCTTTGCATTTTATTGGTTGGATTTGAAATTTATTTTGAATTGACCAATTTGATATTTCGTCCACAATAACCTGCGCGGTGCTTTGCCCAAGATTATCCACAATTTCGAAGGATGTTGTATCATCGACGAAGATTGCATTTCCGTCTGATGATTCAATTTTTAGACCATTCATCATCACGAAGAATAACCATGGTCCTAATTTGGAGCCTTGAGGAACGCCGGCTGATACCTTGTCCAACTTGAGAAGATATCATTCTCCAATTTAACTCTTTGTTTGCGATCACTTAAAAAATCGTTAATCCAGTTTAAAATATTGCGATTGATTCCACAGCTCTCAAATTTACACATCAGCAAATTGTGGTCTATTAAATCGAACACTTTTTTTGTAATCCATCAATATTACTCTCACTTCTGAACCGTAGCGTCAGTAGCTTCAAGCCAATGGTGACCAGGTATATTAGAGCATGTTTAGTGGATAAAAAGGAACACAACCGTATTGGTCTGGTCTTATATGCTTCAGAACGGCAGGTTTTACATGTTAATTCTTGTACAACATACTGCTCAGCGATTTTCGATAAAGTAGGCGTAAGAGAAATCGGCCGATGGTCTGATTTTTATGGTAAAGGGATAACGCTAAATGTAAAGGAATGATGCTAAATTCTTCGATGGTCTGATTTTTTGGTAAAGGGATGACGTTGGCCTTTTTCCATATAGTATGTAGAACTTGTTTTTGGAAAGATGAATTAATTAGATAACATACTGGTTCAGCAAGAAGATGGCTAAAGGTTTTTAGAAACCAGTTGAGAATCTCATTTGGACAGGGTGCTTTAGATTCTTTGATTGTTCTTAGTTGTTTTTTTATGGAAACTTTAGGAATCCAATGATTAGTCGCTTCAATTTTACTACTACGGGATAGTTTCGGGTAACTTTGCAAGGGTTCCAGAAAAGCCGAATTTATATCACTGGCCAGTTGAATTTTAGAATTTGTAGACGGTGATTCCATTTCCAGTAATTTATTATACCGATGCCGGTATTTGGTTTTGACATACCACAGATCTTTTTGCAGATCGACTACCATTTCTTCCGAACTACGTGTTTTAGATGATCAATCTTGCTTTTGTAAAATTTCGATTTGATCATTTTTGTTTCGCGGTTGACTTTTTTAGGATAAAATTTGAAAAGCAAGATGTTGTTTTCTTTGAAGGCTTTTCGACGATGGTGAATTAAGTCATCAATTAAGTCATATGGGGTCATCCAAGAGGTGTCATTTTGATGCAATTTAACGAGTTTTGAGGGCATCATTGAATTTAAAGCAATCATAAGTGAGTCGTTAAAATAATTTAACTGTTCTTCGATGGTAGGCAAAGAGTTAAGTACGGACCAATCCATATTGCTTAAAAATTATCCTAAGGGTTCAAATGAGCTCTTGTTCCTTTTGCGCACTGGTATTAATTTCTTTGTATTGGACGAACTTGGCCGTAAGTTTGGAAAAATAGTAACGGTAAGATGGTCTGCTAAGCCGAAGGGCTGTTTTTTCTCAGAGTTTTGGTAAAATTTAGCTAAATTAGTCAGAATCAAGTCCAAAGTCCGTTCACCTCTAGTAGGAAATTTAACCAGTTGTTTCAGAAGGAATTGATTTGTAATTTGGTTAATGTTAAGGTGGTTAAAATCACCAGTTATTATAATCGCAGCATGGGGCATAGTTCATTCTATTGCTTTCTAGTAATTCACGAACATTCCCACACTTTAAAAACACTCGTGTTCAAATTTCTTGATTGACCTAGGTTAGGTTAACTTGATATTTCCGGTTAAATTCCTTGCCATAGTCTGGTTAATTTAACCTAGAATCTCGTTATAGTTGTTCAGGACGACCTTGTTAAAATACCTGGACTCCTTACGTGGATATATAACTAAAACCCCTCATTATTTTTCCACCTAGCATGGTATATATATATATATATATATATATATATATGATAAGATATGTCATTAATAACTACTTACGGTGTCAGATGTTTTGTTATAGGAAATATCGAAGTTCGCCGGATCTTCATAGGTGCCTAAACAATAAGAAAAAAAGGTTCTTCACGAAGACTTTATAGGACAGAAACAAATATCAACTTATATATGTCGTAATTTGTCTTACTTATAGTGTATAAAAAAGCTGGAGAGCATCTTCTATAACTTTTTGAAATATTGAGATTTTGTTAGTAAAAGTAAAAAGTAATATCCTGTAATATCTCCAAACAATATCCTGTATGTATAAGCAACATATGGCCTATCATTGAATAGTTAAACAGCTAAGCTTTCAAGTAAAGATAAGCTTTAAGTTAGTCCTACTTCCTTTCAAATTTTACAATAATTTTAAAATTGAAGACTTAATATATATATATATATATATATATATATATATATAATATATATATATATATATATATATATATATATATATATATATATATATATATATATATATATATATATATATATATATATATATATATATATACAAACTTGTGCGCACTCGGAGACTTCATACAGCCGCAGCGAATTAAGCTATGTATCATGCATAAATTAGACCATGGTCTATATAATTACGCGTTTTTTACTCTGTCCGACAAAACAAAACTTTCGTGTGCTAATTTCTCGTCCAATTTTTATCTAAAATTACCGAAAATGTAATCACTTTGTCCTTGGGCAATGTCCATTAATCGCGAAAATTGTCGTACTATATACTAATAAGTTCGAATAAGATATCGTGCTTAAAGGCAAACAAACTCACACAAGCAGATAGAAACACGTAACGCAGATGAATGTAACCTAACGTGCTAGAGGAGATAGTTCATGTAAATTACTTACTGTTGTTAAATTTTATTGGCATCAAGTTATCTTTAAGGCCCAGAAATGTTGGTCTGTGATCTGCATCTATCATTGTTAACTCAATTTGCACTTGAATTGATTTAGGAATTTTTGGATGAAGTTCGAGTCTGTTACCGTTAGTGACCTGATGGAAGAAAAAAGACAGGTGAAATAATGATGGAACTAGAAGGAGATATATTCAACAAACGAAGTTTTTAAGTGGTCAAAAACACTGCAAGGAACACGTCCACTATAATTACTGTATGTTTGTAATGTTGTCTCTAATTGTGTCCACACTGGCTAAGCTGAAAAGTTTGCTTCACCGTGGTTGGAATTGAACCCGCGACTTTGGTTTGCTAATCCAATGCTCTACCAACTGAACTCGATGTCGGTTCGACTGATGTCGAGTGGGTTCGAGTAGGTGATATTGATCTACCGACATGACCTTCTAGCTCATGCAGATGGTAGTGCATTGGACTAGCAAACCAAATGCCAGGGATTCGATTGACACCGCGTTCATGCAAACCTTCCAGCTTGCTTGGTGCTGAAACACTCAGGCAAAACATCCCAAACAGACATCTCCACCTAAGTGCGTATAACGGCAGAAACAAGAACATCCACTATTAATTGGTGATGAAGATATGGTTCACGAATTTATCAATATTTCGCCTATTCTCTATAGTAAAAGCCATGGGCGTACGGGAAGGAAAAAATTAGGGGTGGGGCGGAAAGAAATTTGCTCGACTTCTTCGGATTGTGCCCGCGTTGTCAAAAAAAAATTTTCCGGAGAAACTTTCCAAAATTGTTGTCAACGTGGGAGGGAGATGAGTGATTACGAAAAATTGCTATTAGATAGCTTATTTCCCACAAAATTGACAGAATTTCCCACAAATTTGACAGAATTTGTCCCATTTATTTTTATAATAAGCCAAAATTGCCCGACTGTGAAGTGAATTTTTCCCGACTGGCTTTGTTTGCCCAACAAACTGCTGCCGCTCCCTCCGCACCCCGCCCGGTACGCCGATGGTAAAAGCTTATGGTCTGAAATTTTGATATAAAATCGGTTTTTTACCATTCAAGTGTTACCACAGCGGCGCAATCTCAGAATGAATGATCAGGTGTTGCGGGTTTTTAACGGTTTTTATAAACAAATTTATAGTCAACCAAAACTATTTTAAAACCATTCTTAAATTAGTCAAATAAATACATTTTAACAATAAAATATAGTTGACATGATAGTATAATACCTTTGCATTCTTTTAATGACTTTTTGAGCTCATTTAGAGCGGTTGATGTAACATTTTCTGTGGCCTGCATTGTGTGTGCTCATTATATATAATATAACAGTAAAAGGCTAATCACTCGCTGCACAACCGCATCGCCTTCAAAGTCAAATATCTCCGCTCAAATTTGTCGTACGCTAAAACAAATTCGATTACATCTTTTCACAAAGATTTCTCTTTCTAAGTAATATGGTTTGATCATAGTTTGGGCAAATTTAGAGACGTAATCAATACATACTGACAATAACGCCTTAACCGCCTTACGTGGGGTGGGACAGCATCAAGCGACAAACTATCGTCGGATTTGATATGCAGTCCCACCCCGGTTAAGGCGTTATTGTCAGTATGTATTGATTACGTCACGTCCACGATCGTGCCCGTGCAGTCCTTAGTATTTTGAACAGTATCCGAAATTGAGAAGATTTTGGTTTCGTTCGTCGCTAAATTTGCCCAAACTATGATCAAACCATATTATTTAGAAAGAGAAATCTTTGTGAAAAGATGTAATCGAATTTGTTTTGGCGTACGACAAATTTGAGCGGAGATATTTGATTTGAAGGCGATGCGGTCGTGCCGCCTGTGATTAGCCTTTTACTGTTATATTATATATAATGAGCACACACAATGTAGGCCACAGAAAATGTTACATCAACCGCACTAAATGAGCTCATGGAGTAATTAAAATAATGCAAAGGTATTATACTATCATGTCAACTATATTTTATTGTTAAAATGTATTTATTTGACTAATTTAAGATTGTTTTTAAAATAGTTTTGCTTGACTATAAATTTGTTTACAAAAAACCGTTAAAAACCCGCAACACCTGATCATTCATTCTGAGATTGGGCCGCCTGTGTTGTTACTTGCTGAAAAGGAAAAACAATTACGTATGTAAAACAACGTCTAAAAAGCTTGACATTTTGTACTTGATACCCAAGCACTGTTTCTATGGTAGCATTAAAAAGTAATTTAAACGTAGCCTACCGAAGGGACGATGGCTGCTAAACTCTTTAAAATAACAATCAACTCATTATCAATGTTAGTCAACGTTTATCCATCAATTTGGTCTTTCTCTGTGACATGGGTATTGTATTTTTCCCAGCTACCGATAGGAATGTTTTGGAAAGTTACTTATCCGTGACTTGTGCAATAGGGCAAATTGGAAATTGTTGCTGGTAGATTTAGCAAAATACAATACGCACGCGACGATGAAGGACCAGATTTTTGACTAATACAGAGAATGAGGTATATTGTTACTCTAATGAGTTTCACAGTGGCCCATCTTAATTCCATCCAGTGACATCGGTGATCCTCACATTGTATTTCATAAAATGATTTTTCTTAGTTCGAACCGACTTGACCACGTACTGTAGCTCAGTTGGCAGGGAATTGAACTAGTATCCCAAAGGTTGCGGGTTCGATTCCCACCGTTGCCAAGCTAACTTTTCAGCTTGCCCGATGTGGATGCACACTCAGAGTAACATCACAAACATCATGTTAGTAGTAGGAAAACACCGATTCTGAGCCAGTAGGATATTTATGGATAATAATGGACAATTTTGGACCACTAGGACAGTTATGGATAATAATGGATAATTTTGGGCAAAACTAATTAAACAGCACTGCGCACCTCCTACGCACATCTGATGACGTTACGTCCAGCCCCTATGACGTCCCAACCAACCCCCAGCAACCCCTCGCGCCCCTCTCGGAACCCTCTGCCTACCGGCCACCCCTTCCCCCACCCGTGCACCCCAACCGCAACCACTTCCACCACGCATGCGCAAACCTCCGCCCCATGCGTCTGTCAGAGTCTTCCCAAAGTCTTTCCAAAGTCTTCCCAAAGTCTTCCAAAAGTCTTGCCAAAGTTTTCCCGAAGTTTTCCCGAAGCCTTCGCAACAGCGGATGGTTTGAAAAAAACTGAGTCAGCATTTCTGGAAAAAAAATTTTTCTATATAATAAAACAATGGTAGTTGAAAGAACATCAGGGATTGCGGAAAGACTGAAGGGATGGTACAACTGGCTAACCGCCCACGTACCGTCATCCATTAGGAAAGGCGTATCCGACGCATTCAAGACCATGAGAAAGAAGGTCGTAAAACTATACAGCGGTAAAGAGGAAGAAGACCAATGGTACGACGCAAGAGAAAACCTTAGCGACGAGAATGAGCAGTGGTACGACGTCAATCCGGAAAAAGACCTAAAACCCGTCCTAAATAAGCGCGGTATCAAAAAGAAGGTAAAAAAGTACGTCGTCAATCCTAACGGAGCGTACGACCCGACCTACTTCCTGAATATCACAAAGGACGAGGTTGAGACGCTCATAAATTCCGAAACGGAACCGAGAAACGTAAGCATGTCCCTAGCATGTGAAATGGTAAGGAACGATCCGAAAACTGAGGAAGAAGTATCCACCGTCGCCCACTTCAGGTCAAAAACCCATAAATTCATCGGGATAGATAACACAGAAGAGTCTTTTAACATCATGAAGGAAAAAATGCTGAAGTCCTTTTCAGAGTACCAAAAGCGTGGTAGTGGGTGTAGGCTTCGAAGGGTGGATCTGCTCGAAGTTCACATCGGAGAATTCCAACCGCTTAAGGGAAAGGGTCATATGCCACTACCTAAGTCGATCGGGAAAAAGAAAGCGATCATCAACATGAAGAACGACGACGATGAGTGCTTTAAGTGGGCTGTAATCCGTGCATTAAATCCTATCGAACACGACCCAGAAAGAATTACAAGGATTCTCAGAGAACAGGCTGAGGGACTAGACTGGGAAGGAACCGAGTTCCCAACACCCATAACATAAATAACATCAAAAAGTTTGAAAAGAGTAACAATATCGGTGTCAACGTGTTTAGTGTTGACGGAAGCCACAAGGTATATCCCTTACGAATATCCAGTAAAACCGATTCCATAAACCTCTTTCTGTGGAAGAACCACTACAGCGTCATCAAGGATATGTCCAGGCTCGCAAGCGTGCAGATTAATGATTACGGGCACAAAAAACACATCTGCAACCGTTGCCTCAACGCATTCGGATCAAGCGAACTCCTGGAAAGACATCTCGAGTTGTGTTCGACCAATGATTATCAGAGGCACGAATACCCGAAACCTGGTAGTACCATAAAGTTTGAAAATTATGGAAATACACAAACCGTTCCATTTACCATCTACGCGGACTTCGAATGTTATATCTGGGAATTAGATCCAAAGGAACAGAACCCCAACAAGTCAAGGACCGTTCAGTACCAGAAACACAACCCTAGCGGATTCTGCTACTACGTTAAGTGTTTCAACAACTCCATCTACAAGCCTAAGCTGGTACACTATACCCAGCAATTCGAGGGGGGAAACATTACCAAGAAATTCGTAGACATGTTGGAGGAGGAAACCCAAGACATCTAAAACAGGTTCAGGTATAAAGAGCCCATCAGGATGACCCCTATGGATATCAAAAGTTATGAAGAAGCAACCACCTTTTACGCATGTAAGGGAGAATTCACTCTAAAGGACTATAAAGTCAACGACCACTGCCACTACCATAGGTAAATACAGGGGTGCGGCACATAATACGTGCAATCTGAAAATGAAGAAACCAAGATTCATCCCGGTACTCTTCCATAACCTCGAAGGATACCATGCTCATTTATTCATCAAAAACCTTGGGATAAGCAGCGGAGACATCAAATGTATTCCCAAAACGGAAGAGAAATTCATCTCCTTTACTTAGGAGATAGAGGTCGGTAAGTTTAATAACGAGAACGGAAAGGAAAAGAAGGTCAAAAGAGAGCTAAGGTTCCTTGACTCATTCAAGTTCATGGCAAGCTACCTGGACAAGCTCGTCAAGGGTTTGGGTAAGGACGACTTCAGAAATTTGGATCTGATGTCAAAACGCAACACCAAAGAACAGAAGGAGCTGCTTAAACAGAAGGGTGTTTACCACTATGAATACATAGATGGTTTTGAGAGGCTTGGAGAAACAGCGCTCCAACCGAAGGAGAAATTCTTCAGCAAGCTGAACAACGAAAACATCAGCGACATGGATTATAAAAGAGCCTGGACCGTATGGAATACCTTTAACATGAAGACCATGAGGAACTATCACGATTTGTACCTGAAAACGGACGTCCTCCTCCTGGCAGATGTGATGGAAAACTGCAGGAAGGTTTGTAAGACCAACTACGGACTGGATTCGTCGTGGTACTACACAGCACCCGGGCTCGCCTGGGACGCCGCGCTAAAGCTGACGGAAGTGGTACTGGACCTCATCTCCGATCCGGCTATGTACCTTCTTATCGAAAAGGGTATTCGAAGTGGGATCAGCACCATTACCAAAAGGTATGCCAAAGCAAACAATAAGGATATCAGACTCCCTAAGGACCTAACCAGGTTGGAAAGGTTCAGAAAGTGTATAAGGGAAACGTTCTCCGGTCTATCAGCCGTAATCATATCTATGGTTAGCATGATTATTACAATCATTACCGGTACGAAACTGGCGGTCGGTCGTATCCGGGAAGACTGGTCTATATACAACCCCTATATGGATTCGAACAACCTGTATGGATGGGCAATGAGCCAACCCCTACCCATCAGGGACTTCAAATGGATGAATGATGAAGAACTGGAGGAGTGGACGGACTACAGCTGCATCCTCGACGTGGACCTGGAATACCCCGACGATCTACACGACAAACACAACGAATACCCCCATGCACCCGAAAGGATAATGGTTAAGAAGGTGAAAAAGCTCATTCCGAACCTCAACAACAAGGATAAATACGTCCTCCACCACAAAAACCTGAAACAATACCTGAGCTTAAGGTTAAAGCTCACTAAGGTTCACCGCGGAGTGAAATTCTACGAAAAGTCCTGGATGAGGGAGTATATCCAGCTCAACACGGACCTGCGGACCAAAGGTACTACAGACTTCGAGAAAGACTTCTTTAAGCTTATGAACAACTCGGTATTTGGAAAGACGATGGAGAACGTCATGAATAGGGTTGACATCAGGCTAGTCAACGACGAGAAGAAGTGGAACAAGCTGGCCAAAAGCATAACTTTAAGTCAGCAACCATCTTCTCCGAAAACCTCGTAGCAGTTCACATGAGGAGGACATCCGTAAAACTGAACAAAACCATCTACTTAGGGATGAGTATCCTGGACATCAGTAAGACCCTCATGTACAACTTCCACTATAATTACATCAAACCAAAGTATGGTGATGATGTCAAGCTCCTATTCACGGACACAGACTCCCTATGTTATGAAATTAATACCGAAGATATCTTCAAGGATATATCCGACGATGTCCACGAAAGATTCGACACCAGCAATCTAGGTAAGAGTCATCCATCCGGAATCCCAACAGGTGTAAACAAGAAGGTTATCGGGATGATGAAGCTGGAAACAGGTGCAAAACAAATTGAAGAGTTTGTGGGATTAAGGTCAAAGCTATATGCCTACAAAATGGCGGAAGACGGCGATGAGGAGAAAAAGTGTAAGGGTGTTAAGAAAGTAGTCATCAAAAAAGAAATAACATTCCAAATGTATAAGGAATGTCTCTTCAGCGGCGAGAAACAATGGAAGGGAATGAATGTCTCCAGAAGTAGGGCTACATGAAATATATACGGAAAGGGTTGTTAAGATAGCTCTATCGGCAAACGACGATAAGAGGGTGGTTATGGCGGACGGCATAAACACCACGGCGATCGGACACAGGCGTCTGAGGAACTAGGAACCCGGATGAACCAATTTTAATATTCAAAGGTACATTAAATTAAATTCTAACGGGTGTATAGAAGCTTCTTCCGAGGTTCCACCACCTTTTCCCTCAAATAATTTGCCTCCTGAAGCTTTACCTGAACGCAAACCATACTTCCGAATAGGTATATGCTTGAAATTCTGATCAAAGCATCCAAGTAGAAGTGACCGTCCCTTTGTTCCATCGGATTCATATTTCCACCTCCGTCCGCCCTAAACATCACCGTATTCCGATTGACCTTCGCATACAAAACCGGTCCCTTTCCATTCCGATAGAAACATCTCATTACATTGGTGTCCGGTTTTCCGACGACAGCGGCACACTTCTTCTCTAGCGTTTCCAGGACCGATACAAATTCCGTATGTGTTCCGACCGCTAACGGAATAGTATAGTTGTCCTTTCCGAATTTGTTGTTCTTTTTAATTCCATAGGCTACAATCCTGGACAAAACCATCTGCGACACTCTATTAAAACATTCCTTTGTGGCTTTTTTTTACCTTTTAGACCGGAATAATTTACTCGTTTTCCCCCCTCCGCCCACCAAAACAATGTTGGACGTTTTATCCGTATTCTACGAATGCAATCAACATTGAATGGTGGGGGGAAAGGGGGAGGTTTTCTAAATTTACGATAATATTACGACATTTTTGTCAAGAAATTCGAAGTGTTGCAGATGTTTTGTCCAGGATTGTAGATAGTTTTCCAGCTTGAGTAGGAGAGGTCCACCATCTTCTACCACAAGTCCGATCTTTCCAGACCCTAACCTGTTAATCATGATGGAATCCCCAAATACGAACGAATTTTCGGAGAAGTCTGATACTTTGGTGATGGACATTATTTTATTGTATAGAAAATGTTGATTCTGTTTTTTCAAACCCAAAGGGTTTGAAAGTAACAATGGTAGTCCGTTCCAGGACTTGCGGACGAGGTCCTCTTTATTATATAGCAAAAATTTTTGTAATTAAAAATTCGGACACCAGTCCCAATATTCCGATCGCGATCTGCTGGTATTTTTCCATTTCGCTTGATGGTTTGTAGTAATCGTGAATTGTTGGTTACTTATCCAGGGTTAGTTCCTCCTGCGCTTTCCGCAGGGAGTCCAGAGCACGGTTTGTTGCTTCCATATCCGATTTGGCGTCGACTAGTTCCTGTCTGAGTATTGCTATTCTGTTCTTTTTTTCTACTTGACTTTCGTACCATTTTTCTTTAGCTTTGACTAAATTTTCCAACGCTCTGTTGTTTCTTTTCATTTCGTCTTCCTATCCGCCATGGTTTAATTTGCCGAACAGAAATATAACTGCGGCAAATGCTACGGCGTTGAATAATCCTCCGACTACAACACTTGTCATCTCCCTTTATTATAATGGTTTACTTGAATGGATCATCCGGTACTAGTTTTTTAAATTGTAAATAGTGAACTCCGACCGCACCGACTCCAAGGACTACGGCTAGTTTCAGAATTCCTTTCGGACTACTAGCCACTCCCAGACTGTCCCCCGCAAATTTTTTGCTTACCCTTGCCAAGCGTGATAAGTCCAGCATCAAAAGCTTCGTTCATGAAATATTTTCTATCTCCAATGTTTTATTATACAGGGTGTATAAAAAAAAACTGAACAGATTTGAAATTGCTCTCAATTTCGCAAAACACCTATTTGTATCTGTTTTTATATATATAACTTATTTGGGTACTTATAATGTAAAATAATGAAAAAAATTTCTCAAACTCAAATTTTGTGAACCAGGGGGGGGTGTCTTTTCCAACAAATTAAAAATGGCTCGCGCACGAAATTTAAAAGCTGTAATCATATTTTGAGTCAATAGATTGAAAGTTTGTCGGGTTTTTAATTACTGTACAAAATTTCAGACAATTTGGTTTAGTTTGTTCTAAAAAGTCAGCCTTTCGCATGCTTAATTAATGCCTTTACCTAATTTGCATATTGCTGACATATGCAAATTAGGCAATTAAAATGCATTAATTAAGCATGCAAATAGCTGATTTTTCGGGAAAATTGTAACTTTGCGTAAATAGTTAAGGGGCTTAAACTAAACCAAATTGTCTGAAATTTCGTACAGTAATTAAAATCCCGACAAATTTTCCATCTGTTAACTCAAAATATGATTGCAGCTTTCAAATTTTGTGCGCGAGCCATTTTTATTTTGTTGGAAAAGGCACACACCCCTGGTTCACAAAATTTGAGTTCGAGAAATTTTTCTCATTATTCTACATTATAAGTACCCAAAGAGGCTATATATATAAAAAACCAGATACAAATAGCTGTTTTGCGAAATTGAGAGCAATTTTAAATCTGTTCAGTTTTTTTTTATACACTCTGTATAGTATTTACTTTTTAGTGTTCTTCCCCGAATTCATAGGTATCCTGACAGTTGCATGATTTTTTAGGTTTATCCATAGAGGCAATTGCTGCCATATTTTCCCCGAGGTGGAACCCGAATTTCATAACTCCCAACAACCCCAGGACTTGCCCAGGTGTGAGACCGCTGTTTACCGCAATTGCGGCGATTGCGCCGAGTACGATGAATTCGTTTGTGTTACTCATTTATTATATAGTATTTTTTTTCCTTTTTCCGTATTCGTTGTACAAGAAGTAGGTTAATGCTAGAGCTAAAATCCAAAGATTCTTCGCCAGGAACACAATACCTTTTGCTCCCCATGACAAAATTTTGGCGATGAGGTTTAGTACGGATGCTAGTACGGGTCCAACCTTCCCAGCTAAATTTGCAACTGCTTCTGCGAATTTGCTTGTTGCTCTTGCTCCCTTTTTTGCTACGCTTCTAGCACCCATAATAATCGTGGTGATGATACCCGCCACAGATATTGCTATGGCTGATATTCCAAATATATTTTCTTTTGCCCATTTCTTAAGTCTTTCGAACCTTGTAAGATCATTTATTTCTACCTCTTCTTCCATGATGGACATAGCTTTTGATCCCTTTGGTCGTTCGTTTGATCTTAACCTTATTTCGTCCGCTTTCAAATCTGCCATGTCTGCCATTGCTTCCTACAGGAGAGCCTTCTGTTCACGTCCTGCAGTTCGTTCGGTTTCAGCCAGTTCTTTCCGTTGATTTTTTTCTATTTCGAGATACTCAAATTTTTGCTTACCCGAGTTTCCTTTTACGTTTAGGATACCTCTCAGTTCCCTTAGTTCATTTTCCGTTATAACTGTATTATTACCGATAGCTTCGCTTTGCCGGGATAATTCATCATCCATTCTTTCGACGATATTTTCTAATACACTATCCACAAGTTCCTGGGGAGCGTCTAGGTTTAGCCGATCAAGTTGTTCCTCCACTAGGGCTGCAGGTGTTTTGAATGTTCTATTTTAGCTTTCCTGATCAGTTCTTTGTATTCGTTTACGACGGAATCCTTGTTCTTGTCCGTCGAGTATATCATTTTTCCATTCTTCGAAATAATGATTTTGACGTCCTTGAATGTGGCACCGTTAATTTTTGTTCCGGCTTTATTTACGGTTAGCTTCATTTTGTCGAAGATGATGGTGGAAGATGGACCGTCTCCCTTATTGATATTTACTCCAAGTTCATTTTTGAGGAAATCCTTTTTATCCGACATATAGGCCCGTTTCATTATTCCAACTTCTCGTCTGATGTTCGCTGTGGAACCGCTAGGTCTTGATCCATCAACGTCCGGATTGAATCGGATGGGAATTAATATACTTTCGTCCCGTCTTCCGTCGTCGTCAATGAAACTTGTTTCTTCTTCCTCCGCTCCAGCTCTTTCGGCTTCGCGGTCGTCAACGCGGTTTGTTTCGTCTAGTTCAATGTCAGCCATTTATTTTATATCCTTAATATTTTCTTCCGGAATCCAGGAATTGTGCTTACTATCGTATCCTAACCACTTTACCAGTACCATACCTTTCCTTCTTCTCAGAATTTTCTCTACTCTGTACACATCGTCCTATTTATCCACAGCGGATAGTTCCTCTTCGTAAAACTTTCCGATAATCGGTTCTCTGTCATGACTTCCTATTTCGTACATGTTAGGATCTTCTCCTCTGAATACTTTTACAACTTTGAATATCTCTTCCGTAAAGTTTGCGTCGTATCCCTTGGTAAATATATTTTTATACTTCGTTATTCGGACCGTATCATCAACTCTAAACTTAGGTAATGGAAATTCTCCTAATCCGTAAACGTATAGCGTAATCCATACTTGGTCTTTGTTTGACGTCATCAGGTCTCATTAGTAGACTCCTGTGTTTGGTATGGTTGTAGTTATTCGTAAGCTCGTCTAGGGTGTCGACCCAATTGTAAGTTCCTTTGCTGTAGAAATACTTCCACATCATTGTCTTCAAAGTTCTGTTAAATCTTTCAACAATAGCTACTTTTCTGTCAGAGTTTGTGGAAAAATAGCGGACGTCGTGTTTTTGTAAGAGATTCCTAACACCGACATTGTAGAACTCCTTTCCCTCGTCGAACTGTGCAACTTCTGGGTATTTCCCAAATCTTTTCTTGAATTCCTCCAATAATAAGTCCACAGCCTTTGTCATGTTTTTCGTATCTTTTCTGTAGACGAGAATAGCGAATCCATAACGGCTCAGGATCTCGACAGCTGTTAGTATCCAGTAATACCCTTTGTTCTGGATTCCCCATATCCACAAGATCCATTTGCACTTGGCCCGCTAGGTCCTTAACGAATGTCCTCTGAAATTTGTATTTTCTAACAATAGGTTTATACCATGTGTAGGTGTCTTGGGTCTTTAACCAGTCCTTCACAATTCTTCTACTGACGTCCAGTCACTCCTTCTTTGCCTTCCGGTAGAGCTTCTCAGCGGATTGATAACCGGTACTTGGATTATAGTACATATGTCTTAATCCTTGTTCGGAAATAAAGTGCTTGTCTTCCATTTTATTTATGTGATATAAAACTCGAGGAGTGCGGACATATCAACCTTATCGCTGATGTTCGTATTGATACTGAAGGACAATCTGTTGTTGGAACCGTTATTAACATAAACCCTACTTCCAATGTCTTTGAAAAACGTTGTTGTTCCGTTTAGATGTTGGTCAGGTGTCACGGGTAGCGTGCCCACTGTAAAACTTCCTTTACCGTCTACGTCAAAATTTAGGGATGTATTAACAACATCACAGTCGATAGTAATATATCTAAGACCGCGATTAATATCTATAGGAAAGGGAGATCTCTCCCACACTTCGGAGGTTAGGATTTCCGTTTCTGGAAATCCTATTAGTGGAGCAAATTCGTTTAAATGTAAGTTCACCTTGGTTGCCGGATAAATTCTGCAGGTATTGTTGTGCTTGTTTCGTTCTATTTATATTCCGTCTGCCTCTAGTTTTTTCTTTATTGCATCGAAGGTGCAATAGCCTTCGTCGAAGGTAATCTTCTTCTCTCCGTAGGTAATATTATCGTTGACACCCGAACGTACGTTCTTATAAGCCCAGTAGATGGTTGCGTTCCTTAGGAGTAACTCTGACTTTGCGTCAGTTCTAATACACTTGTCCGGAAAAAACTTCGTAGTTCCGTTTTCAATAAACACCCTTAACTTCTTCATTTTTATTACATAATAAATAAAATGAGTACTAGTGAAGACATATTCCGCAACTATTACGGACAGAACTACGAAAAAGTAAAGGCCGCAACACCCCGAGAAATACGGAAGAAGAAAGAGGATTTTAGTAGAAAATATCCAGGCGCAGTGACTGCATTAATGTGACTGCATTAATACCTCCCACAACAGCTTTGTCTCCAACTTCACCGATCTAGACACGAAGTGGACCGGCACCGCAAAGGATATCACCAAGGTAAAGTTCACTTATACAAACGATCCCTATTTCGCATCGCTACTGGCTGTTTACATTATTACGTACAAGTGTGGGATAAGTACGGAACATCTGCTGGAAAGCAAAGGAACCTCAAAAGTAATCACAAGTGTTTCAGGTATCACCTATACTACCACATGCGTAGGTTCCTTAGAAATCCAAGCAAAATGACGAAGTACGTAACGAAAGATATGTTAAAGTCCTTGCAGAGAAACATGCCCACACAGAAAACATGGGTTAATAAATTCCATCGAGGACAAACAGAAATAGGTCTTTGGAATAGCAGACTTCCGGATAAAAGTAGGGTTAGTAACTACAGATATTCATACTACGATACCGGTGGGTGTGATGGGAATTAGTTATGAGGAAGTAGACAAAGTCATTAACAACAGCAATGCGGACTACACCCAATTCATAGCTAAGAAATCAGACGGGCTAACACCCTTAGGACTAAAATTACTTCAACAATCTGTCGAAAGTTACGTCTATTGCGTATTAGGTGCGCAAGCACAAACACGTTGGCCTATCGTTGGTAAAGGGGCAAAATCCTTGCAGACTCAGGACGTATTTCACAAACTTTTCAAAGACACCATTGCGCAAGACGATGTATCGGTATCCGTCTCCAACATGAGGAAGGCAATAAAGGATACTAACGTTGTACTTAACATGGCAATATCACCCGGATTAATATTAATACCATCTAATATGATTATACTTAAGAAAAAAGTAGCAGGATACAACAATACACTCACACTAGCGACATAGGATATGTAGTTTGGTAGTAATGCAGATGTTAATTACTCGAAGCCGAAGGAGGCAAAGCTGAGTTTAGTGGTAAGTCCAAACCCTATACCACACAAAGACCGGAACCCTATACCACATCTTAACACGGTAAGCATATCACAACCAACAAACAATCTGATTTACCTCCTCGGCACTATGTTCGTCGGTGGAATTATCACTTCAAGGTGGATTTTCTTTTCGTATTAATAAAAGAATGAATAGCGACAGCAGCAAAGTTAAGGGAAAGTTAAAAAAGGATAAAACCGTCAACGTCGATGTAAAACTAAATAGAGGTGGACTGAATCTCGGTTACGTTAAATTCAAAACAACCAACATCAAGTACGTTACGTCATGTAAGGAAGGTAAAGCTGGACACTCAGCAAAGACCACAAAGGAAGAAAACAAAAAGAAGAATAAATAAAAAGGGATGGTTATTCGCAAAACCTGAGATCACAAATGAAGTGAAGTACGACAAAAACCACCGGAAAAGAAAAATGTTCAGTTTCGGAATCGGTATAGAACGTGGTGATCTTACCATCAACCCTCACACCCAAATCGGATATGTCAGGGCAACGGTAAAAAAAGTACGTTAAAATAAATGACGAAAATTCAAATATTACGGAGACTAACGTGGACGAGTCTGGTGTTCTGCCTGCTCATCCCGATAACAGTTGAGGTTCTTCTCATCATCATCGCCCTAAAATTACTATTTCAATTTTAATGCTTGGTAAAAAGGTTAAAATTACTCGATATATTCCCAACCTAACGTCTGGAATATTTTTCTATACCGATAATGGGGAACTCTGCTTTCCGGAATCTTGAGCAGATTCTCATCCATCGCTATGTTAAGTCTTTTACATATTAGGTAGTTTAAGATGTTGAGGTTAGGGAGCGTCTTCATCTAAGGTTCCTCTGCGTCGTCAACTTTCGTGATATTTTTCACAATCTCATTTTTATTCCTTGCTGATAGGACAGAATCCGATATATTTCTCCTACCACAAAAACTTTCATACCTAAAACTGATGTCACTTTTATCCTGACCTCTTATAATTGCTTCATCCCAACAATCATAGTCCGAAACAAAAACGGGTCCGGTTATCAATCCGCAGTCGTTGCACGTCCTTTCCCCGTTTATATCGGTAAATTGATGTTTGCGCCCTTCAAAGCAAAAGTGCTTGTCAGGCACTTTGGTATACACCGGCTCTTCCGGACCAATGGAATCCAGGTACTCCTTTTCCGCCTGTCCGAAAAGATCCTTATGCAACCCACTTTTCCCACGATCAAAGTACTCCTCTTCCAATCGTCTGATATTATCTATAGCTGACTTACCCGTGTCCGATTGACAATTCTCTTCCGCTCGTTTGATGACGTCCAAGACCGACCGACATGCCTCTTCCAATTGTTTAAGGAAATCCATGGTTTTATTTTATTATATAATAAAATATTTCTTTAAGTAAGTTTGAGACGAACTTGAGATGACATTAGCAGTAACCTTGAAATTATTTAAGATGACCTTGAAACTATCTCAAAAGAATTTTGAGTAACTTTTAAGCAAATTTCAAGTAGTTTTGAGATGACCTTGAGATGACCTTAAAATTACTTAAGATGACCTTGAAACCATCTCAGAAAAAAAGTATGTATATTAAATAAAGAATGAGCGAGCCAACAATAACAAGAGCAGAAAAGACCCAAAAATCGAAGGATCCGAAAAGGGTAGAATCAGGCAAAAGACTAGCCGCAATATCCAAAGAAGCAAAGGCAAAGAAAGCTACAGGAAGACGTAGCGTTGAAAATAATTCCGATCAGGACGGCCCGGTAAATACGCTAATTTACATCGGTGTTGCGACAGCTGCGTTAGGAGGAATTTATTACGTATACAGCAAAACCAAATCTGCAGACAAGCCCGATCGTACAACCGAACCACAGGCACAAGACGAGTCCGCGGTGGTTAACCTGAAGGTAATCCTAAACCAAAGTTCGAAAAATTTAACAATTAAAAAATATACTATATAATAAAACAAAAGGAAAAGAGAAGCCAAGAACTTACGCCCGGTTTCAAAAGGGGACTGACCTCCGATGTTGTAGGAAGCAGAGTTTGTAACTTCGTTACATTTAACCCAAACGAATCCAATCCCGGAAATGACATCCGCATAGTAGTCCCAAATCTGGAACCGAACACATGTATCGTACCGGACTGGTTCCGTCTGTCGTACGAGTTCAAGAGCGAAAACACCAAATCCTGGTTTATGAATAACCTCGGTAAACTCTTGTGTGAACGACTCATGATAAGAGGCTACTCTTATCATGAGTCATTCACACAAGAGTTTACCGAGGTTATTCATAAACCAGGATTTGGTGTTTTCGCTCTTGAACTCGTACGACAGACGGAACCAGTCCCGAACGATACATGTGTTCGGTTAGATAGTATACGACAATAATGGTGAAAGTCTCATCGAGGTTTACAAAGATCTCTGGAAGATGGGCACGAAAAGAGCAAACATGGTAGAATACGGAATTATAAACGAGAACACAAAAAAGCTATTGTCGAAGGACGACAGCGCTGATATCACTGCAAAAACGGAAGGTGACTACGACCTGGTGATGGCGAAGGTATACAAGGAGCAGAAAATTAAACTCGTAAGAATTCTCAATGATCACGGTCGTTACGCACCATACAAAATGAAGAGCGGATTCGAGTACACTGTAACTCTTCCAAAAGCCGACAAGATTATGGTAAGCACCCGAGGGTAAGCATGAGAGCTGTTGTTCTGCTCTTCAGAAAAAAAAGACAATAACCGACAGCGAGGAATACATCTTCCCAAACATCGAGAAAGTAAAAGTTACGATAGAGGGAAAGACAAATGCCGTATACATTCAGGGTTTAACATACGAAAATTTCTACGACGAAGCAAAAAGACTATTCGGAATAGCTAACAACGCCTGTAACGACAACATAAGCGTTAGGAAACTCTACAAAAATAAATTCGCACTGGTAGTTGATCTGAGAGCTGTCGATGACAGCCATATCGTCGGAAGTGGAAAAAAGCTTCTCGGCGATAATCCCGGAATTCTTCTGGAGATCGAAACAGACGGAAATTCCGAAGACATTCTCTGTAACATCTTCGTGTTATCCGATGGACTTATAAACATCAGCGAAAAGACCCTTCAGGGTATTAGTTACTAAATAATAAAAGATGGAACCATTGGAAACACCATTCAACATGATCATTCTCGGAATGACCGGATGTGGAAAAACCTATTACCTACTAAAAATGTGGGAGAACGATTATGAAAACCACTTTGACTGCATTTTCTTATTTTATTTATTTTTTTTTTATTTTTTATTTTTTACTTTTTTTATTTTACAATCTTTGTCACATGACCGGTTTAACCCACAGAGCTAGTTGCTCCTTTACGGGTAACCTGCTAATGCAATACTGAAATATAGGTTAACACAGTGGATATATCGCTTCAAAATCGCTAATCACTGAGACGTTAGATTTAAATAATGTGGTCCTGAGCAATTCTAATCATGTGGAGGGAAAAAAAAAGGAATTTAATTTAAATTTCACATGCTCACTAAAAAGTGATATTTCCACTGGGTTAACAGCAACTAATGACAACACAGTTTGACAGAAAGACTGGACAAGGGACGACATATTCTTAATATGTTCCACATACGAATGAAACAAGACGTACCAGGACTGGAAATACAATAAGGATAAGGACTTTATAGCCATGCCCTGCAAACAGGATGACGTAAATCCGTGCTTAGAACACGTTTTCTGGTTCGCAGAAGGAACCAATAGTCTAATCGTCCTCGACGACTGTGCTAGCAGTCAATCCGTCAAAAAAAGGACCAGCGAATTGGTAAAACTTGGGTTTAGCGCTAGGCACATGGGAATCTCGACCATCGTTATCACTCAGCAACTTACGTCCATGGCAAAACCCTATAGAGAAAATATATCTAAACTCGTAACCTTTTACAACCCGAGTGCAAAAGATACGAACATCATAATGGACGATTACTTGGCAAACACGGAAAAAGAAGGGAAAAGGGAAATCATTAATACGCTATAAAATAACGACTACGCCAGGCTGGAAATACTATTACGCCGACATTAGATCCACCAAACAGTTAATCCGCATGTTAAATAAAGGAATGGAAACCATATTCGAATCTACAGAACCTGAGATCCCTGTCGTAAGTGACCTAATGGAAAAGCTACTAAAACTGGTTGACGCAGGTGAAATTAAATACACCGCAAAATACATCAAGAAAGCATCTGAAAAAACGCTGGAAAATATATACAAGGACCACGAAAGACAACAGCTGGAGGACACAAACAACCAACTGGCTGACGTCATCATTGCCTAGTTTTCCGAACTCATGGAGGTGTTGCATGCTGTTAAGGGCGCTGAAGGAATGAAAAAAGAACTGGAGGAAAACGATCTGCTCAGAAAAGATTTTAAAAACCTTGTCAGTTATGTAACACCGTACATCCCACTGACTGGAATACTAAGTGGTGGAATCACCGTCGGAAAACATCTGATCAGTACAAAGATAAGCTGCCGGAACATCCCACTGACTGGAATACTAAGTGGTGGAGTCACCGTCGGAAAACATCTGATCAGTACAAAGATAAGCTGCCGGAAAAGGAGGAATGAAGGTCAACAGTATATAGACAAAACTTTTTTATATAAAATAAAAAAGTAATGGATGTGTATAGGAGAGTCTAGCTATACTTCGAATGTTCCGCAGAAATGACGGAGTTCACATTGGAGATGTGTAGAGACACCAACTTTGCAGACGCTGGAGTCACCCTTTCGCACGAAGGAACTGACAGAGAGGTTGACGTTAGGTTTGAGGACACGGAAACAGGACCAAACGCTATAATTATGGGTGTGAAGTGTGAACGCAATCCTTTTTGGTTCGCCAATAAGTTTCATTGTTTTTCTCACCGTTTCGGAGGATGTGACGCTTGCGGAGATAAACGACTTCACGCTGGTTGGTCCGGAGTTTGGTATAAATTTGGGACAACCCGACGATTTCGCAGAGTCGTGGGTGTTTTCCATACCGTCTTTACATGCCCGTTCCTATGGTATAGGAAATCTGTTCAGGATATGGTGGAGTGACCGTCCGGTTGTGATCGGTGATGACGAGGTTGAGTACGAAAGCAGCTTACACGTCAGCGGTTTAAATTTAAAATTTTAATGTTCTTACAAACATTATAATTGGTTTGTTCGGTTTTCTGCTTCTGTACTTGATTAACCTCATTACAAAAGCCATTCCTGATCCGGTTCCTCTACCTTTTCCTTCAGAATTTTCGCTTGGTACAGCTTCACCTGAATGGAGGTCACCTTGTCGGACACGTAAATGCAATCAATCTTGATAATCGCGTCCAGGTGAAAGCGTTCACTCCGCTGTTTCATGGGATTGACACTAGAGCCACTATTTTCCAAGCGCATCTGCGTTTTTTCATCAATCTTTGCATAAAGGGTAGGACTCCTTCCCTTTCTAGAAAGACACCTCTTCACGTCACTACCCGGTTTCCCCACATGTTTAGCACACTCTTTTTCCAATAATTCCAGAGCCGACATGAATTCCTCGTGTGGGCCAACACTTAGTGGAATTGAATAGTTGACTTTTTCAAACTTATTGTTCTTGTTTATTCCATAAGCCAGACAATTTTCGAGTTTAAGAAAAAGCGGACCATCGTCTGATGCCGTTATTCTAATCTTCTTGGATCCGTAACTGTTTCCGACGGCATCTTCGAAAGCGAACGAATCCTTGGAGAAGTCTGACACTTTGGTAATAGGCATTGTTTTATTATATATAAAAAAATTTTTTGTTGTCAAATTATTCCTAGATTTGATTTTGTTTTTCAAACGCAAAGGGTTTGAAAGTAGCAAAGATGTCTGATTCAAGAACGGGAGGATGAGGTCCTCTTTATTATATATATAAAAAAAAAAATCAGAAATGCTGATTCAGCTTTTATTCAAACCCAAAGGGTTTGAAAGTAACAATGACAATCGGTTCCATGACTTGTGGGCGGACTAAGGAACAGGAGGATGAGGTCCTCTTTATTATATAGAAAAACATTTTTTCCAGAAATGCTGACTCAGCTTTTTTCAAAAACCATCCGCTGTTGCAAGGCTTCGGGAAAACTTCGGGAAAACTTTGGGAAGACATTGGGAAGACTTTGGGAAGACTTCGGAAAGACTTTGGGAAGACTCTAACAGACGCGTGGGGCGGAGGTTTGCGCATGCGCGGTGGAAGTGTTTGGGGTTGGGGTGCGCGGGTGGGGGAAGGGGTGGCCGATAGGCACAGGGTTCCGAGAGGGGCGCGAGGGGTTGCTGGGGGTTGGTTGTGACGTCATAGGGGCTGGAAGTGACGTCATCAGATGTGCGTAGGAGGTGCGCAGTGGTGCTTAATTAGTCTTGCCCAAAATTATCCATTATTATCCATAACTATCCTAGTGGTCCAAAATTATCCATTATTATCCATAAATATCCTACTGGCCCAGAATCGGTGTTATCCTACTACTCATGTTCAAATTACATAAACGAGATTAGTTATAATATTGTTTTAATTATGTAGCGCATGTACTTACGAATTCTTCAACTTCCTCGTCACTTTCCAAAGACAGCCCACTTGGCATGTTGACATATGGCTTGCAACCAAAGGTAAAAATCTCAAACAACAGTACACCGAATGACCATACATCAGATGCAATGCTGAATTCACGAAACTGAAGTGCTTCAATAGCCATCCAACGCACGGCAAATTGGTTGGGAAAATGTTCACTGAAAGAAGTTGGTTTTCGACTCAGACCGGTAGGCAAGTTCGGGCCAGTATAAGAAAGAACTGCAAGACGAAAATCACCAAGTTTGGTAAGCAGCTTTCCGTCTTGCATAAAAATAAAACAGTTCTTGGCGCACAAATCACGATGGATTATATCCCGTGCACCAAGGTATATCATGGCGTTGCAAACGTCTAGAGCAATCTGGATTAATAGTTCAGCTTCAGGCGGGGTGGTGAGGGCTGCAAGGCCTTCAAGGTACGCCAAAAGATCGCCTTTGGGCGTTCTCTCTATGATCATATGCATAGGAGCTTTTGTGCGTGAGCCGAGAAGTCGAACGAGGTTTTGACATGGTTCAGCACTCAGAACCTTAAGAATTTCGATTTCTTTTCGTAGAGGAACTGTCTTTAAAGCATCTGCCCTCAGCACCTCTTCTTTGGAATGTTGGTGTAGTTTGAGCAAGCATTTCTTGCCACTCATCAGAGCACCATAAGCACTGACCCGTCTTCGTCCCACATGAACCCGTGTTTCAGGTAAGATCTCCAATACTTTATCTCTATACGTCGATGCTACCCGAAGAATGGACAGATTCTCGATGAACCGTTTTTCGTCGCCTTTGCAGTTGTCTGTAATGAACGTCTTAAAACTGTTGGGTGCTGCAAGAAATACAGCTCTCTCACATAATTTTTCGAGAAGCATCAACACCTGCTTGTCATTCTTGGTTGCCTTGGATTTATTTAGAATCCAACTTCTAAGGAGACCCCCACAGCCTTGTTCGCCGGTTAAAACTTGTTCAATAATTGCTGAAAAATAATTATTGGGATAGCGAGTTATTTGCAGCTCAAAAATACGCCGGATTAACGCTAGGGGACACATCAAATATTAGTACAAATTAGTTTTGCCGAAAAAATCTAATCACTTTGCTTTTTAAAAGTCATCGTGACGACTATCGCAAGATTTCTTCAAAATTTTGCACCTAGGCGACAGGTGCGACTTTCTTGCGTCAGCATAGCAGTGGCGTAAGCATACAACGTACATTTCATGCACAAACTGCCAATCTGGAAGTCGCTACTAAAGCTCTCTAATAACAATCATAACGGCAACGATGACGGCAATAACTGCGAACAATAACAATATAACAATATAACAATATAACAATATAACAATATAACAATATAACAATATAACAATATAACAATATAACAATATAACAATATAACAATATAACAATATAACAATATAACAATATAACAATATAACAATATAACAATATAGCAATATAACAATATAACAATACAACAATACAACAATATAACAATTTAACAATATAACAATATAACAATATAAAAATATAACAATATAACAATATAACAATATAACAATATAACAATATAACAATATAACAATATAACAATATAACAATATAACAATATAACAATATAACAATATAACAATATAACAATATAACAATATAACAATATAACAATATAACAATATAACATTTAGTATAAATTTTGCATATTAAATGAGCTTTCGCGCGTTCTCATTGGCTAGCTGATTAGTATATCTGAGGCATTATTTACCACCTGGGTAGTAAATAATGCTTTTCAAAAAGAATGATTCGACAAATTTGGTTTCAAAATCGACAAAATATTGAAAAAAATCGTCCCCAGAAAACGAAAGAAGCACATAATGTTGTATTTATCTTGAAAGGTAGGATTCCTTTATTATTTTACTGTATCGAACATTTTCACGGACAAAATTAAAACTTATTTAAAACTCCGAAACATTCACTTCAAACAAATGGTAAAAACCATCCCGACTTTTGGGGAATTACTACAAGAAACATCCTTGATGGCGATACGAGCGCCTTCATTGCGCATACCGCTTTCTTTATTGAGATGTGTTATATTATTTTTTTCAAATAATCACCTTTGTAATTATACTAAAACAATTATTCGCCTCAGGCTCGGTGAATATCGCTGAATAAAAACCTCGACTTCGTCTCGGTTTTTATTCAGCGATATTCACCTCGCCTTCGGCGAATAATTGTTAAATAACAATATAACAATATAACAATATAACAATATAACAATATAACAATATAACAATATAACAATA